AAGAAGACTGGAATGTAAAGTCTTGGGCTTTCCCTCCTTGTTTATAGTTTTTCTCATTTGATAAAAAAAAAAAGAAACTTAAAAAAAAAATCAACAATCCAGTCCAGAAACAGAGGAAAAGTCCACATTTCAATAAAGTAAAATACTAAGACAAAACAATACATAAAACTGCCGAATAGGAAAGCAAAACACCTCACAGCTATTGCATGGCTAAGAAAGAAAAGCAGCGCCATGGGGAGCTTCTCAGAGTAAGAGGCATCTTAGGGAATGGGGCTGTAGTGCTGGCCCTGGAAGGTGCCCACAGCTGGCCAGACCATAGCTAGGAATCTCTGCAGAAGGAGGTGCTGTGGTTCAGAGTGACCTCACAGCTTCTCCTGGGGTGCTGCTTTAGATGAAAGCCTTGCAGAGGACAGAAAAGCACTAGCCGTTCTTTCCACTGCCAAGGGTCATGGAGGGCATTGCCCTCCAAAAGTAGTATGATAGCTACTTTGTGTCTTTCCCACACTGTTTATCTGAGGATCTCAGCCCTTGTCAGACCTAAATGAATGATCACTTGTTAATAATAGTATTGCTAGCACCATTCCATGGAAATACTCTTGATGGGTGAGGGTCCGTGGGAGCATACTGTGCTGGCTGGAGAGATGAGATGACAAGCAGTCTGAACCCGGACACTTCCTAGATCCTCAGATGTGTCCTATGGCATGAACAAGGCTCTGACCTCACCATTTGTCCTTGGCTGCACTCTATGTCCTCTGTGAATTTGATGACAGAAGTATGGCTCTCCAAGCACTGCTTCATGGAGGGATTCTTCCAGCCTTCAGCTGCCCAATGGCTCACCAGCCAAGGCAGACATTGACACTTCATTCTTAACATGTCTCATGCAGAAATAACTGGAACATGTGTTAAGGATGAAGCTGGAGTGTCTGCCATGGCAGGCATGCTGGCAGGCAGCTGGAGGAACAGCTCTAATCACTGGACCATGCTCCCTTCCTAAACCAGCGTTCTTGGAAAGTTGAGAGAACTTGCTAGGGCAATGTGATAGACAGACAGATACTGGAATGGTCATTATACAGATATTATTGCTTCTCTGTTGTGCACAGTATTAAGTTTTTCTTTGCCTTGTAGAAGGAACATGATGCGAGTGTCTTTGGTGTTGTGTCCTTCTGAGTCCACCCCATCTCATTGCTTCCAGCCCCAGGAAGGTAAGATGGTTACTCCAACTGCCTATCCTACTAAGTTGGAAATCCAGGCAGCTCAGATGCTGTCCTGTCAGGTGCCAGGATCCCTATAAAGAAAGCATACTCAGCCTCTAGTGAGGGGAGGCTTGCCATTGCATCCTGGCTAGTCTCTCCTATTATTCTAACTGAGTTTGAAGCAATTTTGAGCAGTTTTAGGTACAGTTATGTCCTGCTGTCCTGTAAGGCAGGGTAATGTGACTAAAGGCCCTTAGAGTCAATCTCAGGACAGTAAGTGGAGGAGAAACTGGAAAGCCACTTGCTATCCCCCTCACTCCCACCCCCCAAAAATAGCCTGGCAATTGGATAACAGTAGGGATTCATTTCTCTTCAACCCCAGATACAAAAACCCCAAATACAAGTAGCTACAAGAACCACATGGGTTCTCATAGCAGCAGCATCCACCTGACAAGTGAGTTGGATGGATCAGCTGATGCTGATCAGAACAAAGTGCTACCTGCTGCAGACAATTTCTGCCTAGCTCAGATTTGTCCCTGTTCCACCTAATGCCATGTCCCTGTTCTCCCCTTTACACTTTTTCTCTATGACTGGAAATGTTTCTAGGGGTGATGGGAAAGGCATGGCTGCATAGAGGACTCACAAGAGCAAGGAAATGCTGTAAAATTCCAGTGGGTTTGAGAGGAGATGATGCTGTTGGAAAAGTACCCATTTCCTGGCCTCTTTCCTCCTAGCTATGTCCCAGAGCTTCATATAATTGGAGAGTGTCTGTCTGTCTGTTTCCCAAGATCCTACCATTCATGACTCTTATGATCTTTTAGTTGTATACAGAATCTAATCAAATTGGGTAAAATATTGGCCTAACCGAGCCCATTGCCTGACCACTACCACCACCCCAGGGAGATTTCTGAGAGGACATTACTGTGTCTTGAGTTTACAGTTAATCCAGGGACCCCAACTCCTCTCAGTCCACACTGAAACCAGACTGCAAAGTGGTCTGAAAAGAAACTGCCAGCATAACACTGGCTGTGTCTACACAAGCAGCAGACTATGCAGTTGTTACTGCGCTGTCATTTAGCACTTGCATAAACAAGTACTAAATGACTGCACAATAACCAGCGTTACTGCACAGTACCATCCCTGCACAGTTTTTTTCAGATGCTACTCCGCAGTAGCTTCTCGTGTAGACCTGCCCCCTGAGATGGGATGGTCCACCTGGCACACACACAGCATGTTTGACTGATGTGAGGGAAGCTGAGGGCTGCATCTGTGTCTCTGGATAATGCTCAAAGGGTCTTATGTAAAGAGATTGCAAAAGGCAGGCAAGAGCAGCATTAAATATGCAAGAGGCTGGATCCGATTGAAATTTATGGAACCGGCATGCAAAACCTGTCACGCTGTTCAGGGATTGCGGGGGGGTGGAGAAATGCTTGTGCTGAAGAGAGACAGAGAAAGAGAGAAAGACTTTTTGAGCATCTTTGCATATTGTTAATATAAATCCTTGGTTTTCTCTGACACCATGTAACCATGGCGTCTCCCCAGCAAAGAGGAATGGAAAGAGCAGGACTAGAATTTTAAAAGGATTCAGAGAGGGCAACAAAATTTAAGAGAGAAGGAAGAGCGGCTGGGTTCAGAGAAAATGGCCAGGATCCATTTTATCTCAACAACTTCAGGGAAGACACCCAGGTGGCTCTGAGGGCAGTTTCTGATCAGCTTGTACTTCATGGAAGTATTTGCAGGTAAATACACACATGCAGATTATATAGGGCCATATCCTTTACTCATGTGAATCGAGGGATCACCTCTCTACAGTTACGCTGCTTTACACCAGCTGGGGATCAAGCCTAGTGTGGTAGGAGAGGTGCTGTGTAAAGACACCGCCTGGCTTCTCCTGGAGTCAAAGTGTACAGGGAGATTGCTCACCATGGCTGTAGCCCTGGTACTTGTTCTCTCTGAACACATCTGGGTGGAGCCTTAGTGCTGCCAGACACTGCAAAGGAAGAAGGATGTCTGGAAAAGGCAGAACTATGGCCCAGCCCCCTTCTACATGACTGAGAGTCACAGAGAAAGCATCTTCTAAGGGCATTGTTCCTGTCGAGGCTGCTTCCCCAGGTCCCTACCTGTAGGCATTCTGGCTGCCTCTGTCCTCCACTAACAGAGTGCTTCCAGGGTCTGCACAATCCCATCCCTATGACAAGACTGCCGTTTCTAAACCAGGGCCCCACAAACCTGTCCAGGCATTCAGTGCAGCATCGCTCTAGGTTTACACACAGCTGGAGTATTTTTTCCCAGGAAATCTGCTATGCTCCAGGAGTATGCCACATCACATGGCTGCTGCCCAGCATGTGATACTGTCTAATGCAGGGGTGACCAACCTGTGGCATGTATGCCACAAGTGGCACAGGCATGTGGCAGGTGGCAGATCAGGGAGAGGACAGGCAGCACAATGGCAGATAGGGTAGGCAGCAAAAAGTAGATCAGCAGATTGTGGAGTGAGCATAGGGGAGGAAGCTGAAAGCAGAGCAGCAGATCAAGCAAGGGGGGTGGAGATCAGAGTGGCACTCTGGGAGGGTGCAGGGCTATTTGTGGCACACTGCTAAAAAGGTTGGCCCCCACTGGTCTCACCCACAGCACGCAAAGTCGGTGGTACATCTGAGGCTTCTGCAGACCAAAAGGAACACATGAAAGAACCACAGATAGATCACATCCGTTTATAAAGGCTCTTATCGCTTTGGTGCAGATGACTTCACTCTCCTACTCCTCCTCACCTACCATGTAGGTGAGATTGGTGCAGCTTTTGAGCTGTATAACACATGAGGGTTTCTCTCACACCCTCAAACCCACATCCATATATTATCAGGTTAAAAAAGAAAAACTTTCCAAATTGAGTTACCCAAAGAACTTTACCTTTCTAAACTCTCAGCTTTTCACACCTGCCATACACACAGAGTGACTACCAGTTTCTTTACACTCTCTTAATTGGGAACATTTTCTGAATGGGTACAAAAATAGGGCAAGCAGCACATATTTCCCTTGAGAGGCTCCTCAGTCTAATCTGCTGTTACTACCACAGCAGTAGGATGGCTGGGATGCACTGCCACTTGCTGGTACAGTTAAGTAATGCACAAAAAATATTTTAGAGTCTAGCCTGGCATAATTACTGAAAGACCCCTCAACTCAGTGACTTTGTGGGGATCTGAGTGAGCTCAGCAGCTGGTAGGATTGAGCCCTTAGCACACTCCTGGTCCTGAAAAGTTGTGAAGCGGGAACATCAGGATAATATTCCTATAGTCTGAAATCTTTTATCCAAGGACCTCAGATGCAAATTGAAGTCAACTCATTCTACAATTCTTCCATGTGCTAGGCAGGCAAAGAATAGTTACTTTACCGCTGGGGAAGCTGAGATGCAGAGACATGAGGTGGCAGCTCAAGGAAGAGATAATGGAACAGCAAAGGATTTACCTGGGCCTGCTAACGTAAATTAAAGTGACTTCTCTTCCCTGAGATTCTGTCTTCCTAATTAACATCAGATAGCTGACCTGGCATTTGATCATGTTGTCTGGTTTAGGGCTTTATGAGTGTTTCTGCTGCTAGACCAAGGCTGACCAACCTGCCACCCCCACTCCAGAAACACAATGTCTGGTGACAATTTTTCTGTCTGCCTTATACTACCTTTCCTGGCGTGAGCACTGCTGACAAAAGCACTCACTTGTCAGCCCTTGCCCCACCCCCCCAGGAGTTTAGCAGCCTAGCTGTGTTGGAGAGGGAGTGTGATTTTTCACTGCTTTCAGGGGCTAATTAAAACCTTGCAACTGAAGCCTTGTCTTGATAAGCATTTGAAGCTTTGTTTGGGCCATTAAAAAGGTGTTTTGTTTTGTTTTTTTCAATGAAGCTAGTTCACTTGAGCTACTTAATTTGACTGAATGCTCTAGGTAACAACAGTTTAACACCTTTCATTTGAGTTCAGCAGGTTGCCTCTTATGTTCACAGGTATTTCTGCAACAGTGAACAGCACAATTAAAAGGTTTAAATGGCCTCTGAAACTGCCCTTCATGCTTAGACATCAACACTTCATTAAGATGGCTGGGAAACTTCTCAGCTCTGCTGTTGCTCGTCACACTCTTGCAGGAGTCAGGGGGTGAGGAGGTTTCATCTCTGATCACTATACATGTAGTTAAGCCATGTCCACATGAGGCTTACTTGGCTGTATGTTGCTTTAGCTGTACCAGATAAGCACTTCCAGTGTATACTGTCCTTGGGCATGGAGCTGACATATGGAAGGCAGCTTCCTAGACAACCTGCAGTAATGGATGTGGGTCACCTGGAAAGATGTACTTATGGCACAAAGATTTGCTCACAGGGGGTATTCCACTGTATCTTCAATTAGCTTTTTTCATCAGCCATCTCTTGCATGCAGGGAATGGCACAGCTTTCAATGCCATCTGCTGAGGAGCTAACGTGGAGAGTCTGAAGCCGAACATTGCAGGAATTCCCACAGAAGAGAGCCAAGATCTGCTGCACAGAGCACCAGCAGTGAGTTCCATGTCTGCAAGGACTTCAGTCACCCTTTCTGTAGAAGCACAAGGGAAGAGGTGACAAGCTGTTTGAGGCTAGTTGGGATAAAACATTGAATCACTGCTGTAGTCTCTACCTGCTATGATATACACATCAGATCAGGCTTTCACAACTGGGCCCATTAGGGGGCCAATACAAGTTGTATGACAGCACAGTTGCTGAACAATTACAAGCTTTCTCTGCATAGCCCTTTATCAGGACCTTGAGTACTGAGCCCATAGGCCAATACATATTTTATTTAACGGCTGCACTGTTAATATTGTAACATCCAGCTATGGCATCTACTCCTGCACATGTCACTACATAGCAAGAATATTCATTGTTTGTGGCAGCGCTGTTGCTAACACTTATCTGTACTGGGATCTTATCTATTTATGTAATCTATCTCTCTCTGTGTTGTGATCTAGCAGCTAATCTCTTTATTTTAAATTTTTCTAGTGCACCCCTCACCATAAAAATCAGAAAGAACCGTTCCAGAGAGAGAAGTCATGGAATTTGGACTGAATTAGCTAAATTGAGCTAGTAATAACGATGTATCGTATGTAGTGTTGCAATTCATATGCCTCTACAGTGCTGAAGGTCAGTGGTGAATGCATGTCAGGTCCTTGATCCAAAGGCATTGGACCCTGGGAGGACTTGTTACAATTAATAGCCTTGATTTCAATGGGAGTATTTCAATGAAGCCCTGGCAATAAATTTTGTGTGCAATTGTGTTTATAGGAATAGGCTCCAAAGCACAAGCAAAACCAAACTGAGCAATGCACCACATCACCTACGCAGAGATGTCTGGCCATTGTCTTTTTACTAGCTGAGCAGGGCTGAAGTGGGAGTGTGGTATACGTGAATGGGGAAGCTAATCTCCATGTGTGGGGCTGCATAAAGAAGTGGACAAGGAGGCAAGGAAAAGAGCTGGTGTGGATGGGTGAAGCCTGGGGACTAGAGATAGCAGAAGCCAGTATGTTATTTGGAATTAAAAAAAGAAAGTGATATGCGTATTTAGGCAGACAAGGTTCTTTGGATGAATCTGGTATCTTTTATTAGATCAACTTAAATAGCTGGGGAGAATTTTTTTTAGCAAGCTTTCAGGTTTAAAAACCCTTTGCCAGGCTGAGGAAGCCTCTGCAGTTGGTGTGTGCTCTTCCTGGATGGACTGAATAGTAAATATGTGTATTTAAGAAGTCAGGAACCATGATAAGAGGAGCATGAATGGAAAACATCCTCAGAAGATGCATTTGGGAGTGGGTGAACTAGAGGTAGGATCAGGAAGAATTAAGAGGAGTGCAAACCAATCAGATGTATCCCAGCGTTTTACAAAACCAAGCACTATGTGAAGCCTGAACTAGCAAGAGATACAAAGGTTTCAGTGAACATTCAACGCTGTCGGTGAGTTTTGGCAGTAAGGTTAAACCATCGACCGTTGAGTGTACCCTGCAACCTTGGTAACACCTGAACTGAAGGATTTATAGGTTTAAAAACAGTCTCCCTAACATAGCCTTCACTCAAACATAGCGCATTATAAAATACAATTACTTTGTCTTCAAAAGTGCTAATTCAATTGATTTAGCTAACTGGATTTAATATATGTCAATATTAGCACTTCTCCACACAGTAAAACTTTCAGAAAAACTGTTCTGCAGTAATTTATTCCAAAATTTTTCCTTGTGTGTGGCCATGCTATTCCAGATTAAAAGTTACTTTGTTTTGGAAGAGGTTGCATGTTTCCAAAGTAGAGTAATTATTTAGGATTTTATCACTCAAACACCATCCTCGTCAAGAACATCAGTGACACGACAGAATATAGTCACTTTTATTTTGGAATAGGACACATGGACCTCTATTCTGGAACAGCTATGGCTATTCCAGTCAGCTTCACGATGTAGATAGCACCTAGTTTAGAGAAGCCTTTGATGGTTAACCTGTGAGCAAGTGGAATTGTTACTTCAATTTGGGTTTGACTCAAGACTACTTGCTCTCAGTGCTTCATGATAGCTGTACTGTAAGATACCTCAGAAGCTGTTGCAACTCTGCAATTTAGGACTGGAACTGTCTGAAGACACGGGCATATTTTCCCTGTTAGCGAAGGCATGGTTCTGGAATTAGAGAAGAGTACTTTAACTCTCGGCTTTCTGTCTCTAGGTCCATCGCTTTCCCTTCCTTGTGCTTCCATTTCATTCATCCTTGCAATGTGGATAATATTGACCTTCCTACCCAGAAGACTGAGGTTTAATTTTTTAAAATGTCTAATGCTCTGTGAGATGCTCCTGCTGTAGAACCATGAGCTGCTATTTCTGATTATTCTCCATGTCCCTGCTGTGTTCCTGTGCTGCTTGAGCAAAGATTCCCAGAAGCCCAAAAAGTCACAATCAACATTCATTGCTGTCGGTGGGTTGTGATGCTGAAGGGAAAACTCACGGATCAATGAATGCAACTGTGATTGGAACAGACACATTACTGTACCAGCCCTGGTGCTTGAAGGCTGGTGGATGGACTTGGTCTCCTGATCTTTTGCTCACAAATCCTTGGAACAACCCTTCATTCTGAGCACTTAGGACCTTTCAAGATGAGCTCATCCAGGCATACATGACAAAGGCAGGAGAATTTCAGAGTAGCCGTGAAGTCTTTTCTTTAAGACCCTAATGGGCGGATTTTCACAGGTGCTGAATGCTTGCACTCCCCGTTCACTTCAGCCAGCATGGAAGTTAAATACAAAAGACCTAATAGGGGTTTATTCCCAGCTAGTCTATACTCCAATTAGTGTATGTGTGTTCTTAACAAACAAGTGCTTTGTTTAGCTTTAAAAGCCTTGAGCTAGGAGGCTCAGATAGGCACTCAGAAACTACACCAATAGTCATGGAATAAAAGGACAGATAGGCAACTATCTGCCTTGAAGAGATTAGTCCACTGATCTTACCATTAGGACTTTACTTTACAGATATTCACCTTTCATTTATTTTTATTATTTATGTATTACACTGCCTTAGATTGTCCTAAATAATCCTTTTATCTTCCCGGAAGCATCAGCTACCACATGCCTTACAAAGATTCTCATTTACTAGTGTGACTTGAAGGTAAGGGGTCAGAGGCAGATGCTTTAGAAAGCTTTGGATATAAAGTTAATAACATCCTTCAAATCTCAGCAGAATTCATTGCCGTTTTCACCCTTGGTCAGATCATACTTTTGAAACACAAAACAGTGAATCCCCAGTGTCATGCAACTAAGCCTGTTTAGTGGTTAGAACAGGCCCCAAGATTTTGTCCATGGCCAGGGTTTGACCCCATAGGCTTGTTATTTAGTAATTTTAAAAAAAGATTTCTGAGCTTTTCAGTTGCTCACTGAAAAGTGATCTTTATTGACTGGCTTCCTGTTTGCTGCTTGAAAATCAATTCTAATGAGATGGAAATCTGCTGAGGTGCTCTTATTCTTACAGTGGGTTGATTTCAGCTAATGAATGACAGTACTTAGAGGTGTGGGCATCTGAGAGCAATTTCAAGGTGGGAGGGAATATGGATGTCATGGGTGTCATGGGCTCAATCATGCATGTCTTTTCTTCAGTGAACCTCCTATTGGGCAAGGATGGCAAGATTAGGATCTGTAAAATGTAAAGGGGGGCACAAATTTAATCCAATCCAGTTAGGCCTAAAATTCAAACATTGCCCCCCAAAAAGGGCCAAATCCAAATATTTACAGTAGTTAAAAAAAAGTTGAATCACGAAAAGCTGCTATTCACAGTTCTGCAGAGTTGTGGGCAATTTTGAACTCGATGCTGCTAGAGACAGAGAGAGTGAAAGAAGTTATTTGAAGCTGGTGTGAGTATGGCCTTCATTTATTTGTCCATATGTGAAGAGATCTGAACAGTGGGATGTAGTACTGAAGAGTCTGGAGAGCTGCGAATGGCAGCAGCCCCATAAGAAAAAGCTGCAACAGTCAAGATAAAAGTAAAAGAAGAAATGGATAAGGAAATAAGCAGAAGTGAAGCTGAGGCAGCAACATTTACAGACAAATGTTTCTTGCATGTTTTAGTTGCCATTCCAAAGAAAAAGCTCTTCTGAATTATTACTTGTGATTGCAGCATTTTGCAAAATTGTTGCAATTCCTGATGCTTGTAGAATGTGCTTTTAAACTCCAGGTTTGGGGGAAAGAGGATATTGTAGCATATTTAACTTGAAGACTTATTTGAGAGACCCCTTTTGAAATCACAGAAAGGGGGGAGGGAGGGAGGGAGACAATCCAGACTCTCTGTCTCCAGGCAGAGGGAGGTGGAGTGGGGGAGGGAGCTGACTGACAGACTCAGGTAGACTTCCAAAAATGTGATTGGCTCTTCTGAAGTCTCACTGATGGCCCCTTCAGAAAATAAAATCACATGGAGCTATTTTACTCCCCAACACATGCAAGTTTTCCTAGGAACTACAACATGGAACAGTTTAACATCTGGAAGGATTACTTGGGGCTGGCAGAAGTGGTGGAAGAGATTCATAAACAGCAAAGC